AATCTCTAAAGTCTACTCCAGCCTGGGTGTGATGGCTCACGCCTGTAATTCCAGCACTTTAGGAGGCCGAAGCGCGTGGATCACCTGAGGTCAGAAGTTCAAAACCAGCCTGGCCAACATGGTGAAACCCCGTCTCTACTAAAAATACAAAACTTAGCCAGACACACTGTCATGCGCCTATAATCCCAGCTACTCGGGAGGCTGAGGCAAGGAGAATCCTTGAATCCGGGAGGCGGAGGTTACAGTGAGCTAAGATCGGGTGACTGCACTCTAGCCTGGGCGACAGGGCAAGACTGTCAAAAAGTCTACTCCAGAGCTCCTGCTTGCATTTTTTGTTTAAAAATCATACTAATCATACTCTTTATATAAGATGTCTGGAATTTAAAATACTCTAGAGCTTCCCCCAACCAAAAAAAAAAAAAAAAAAAAAAACATGGAGTGGTGGTGTGGATGAAACAAGAATGGTAAAATGGTGAGTGATTTGTGTACTATTCAGTTTTTTGTATTTTAAAATGTCCATTAAATAAATACCCTCCTCCTAAAAATATTTCCCTCCCTTTCTTCCCCTGCTCAGTTGTCATTCACATTTTCCCTTTTACTTCATCTCTGCTGGGCATAGCACATCCTACTCCAGAAGCACAAGAGGAGGACATCCCATGCTGGCTACTCCTGCCCAGCGTGGTGGGGGAGCAGAAGCTCCAGAGCCCAGACTTGCAGGTTTGCTGTTTTCACTTTACCCCATTTGTATCCAAAACATAAGGACCCTGTCTATGGGGGTATTTTAACCAAAGGTCTGAGTATTTATGATGAACTTTCATCTGCTAAGAAGAAAGCGACAGCTGACCAATTTATTTTGCGTCCTCTCCCTGATCTGTTGAGCAACAAGGGGCTATACTGTACTAGCAACTAGACCTAATCTCCAGTAAGGCTGGAGACTGACCCGTGGGCCTTGAGAGAAGTAGTCAGTGCTGAGGCTAGCCAGGTGAGGAGGGCAGCCACATTGTGCTCTTGACTAGAGGGCAGGTGAGGTTCTGTGCACATACTACAAAGGCTGACCCTGCTCCCAGACAGCTGCCCGCAGCAACTTGTCAGACGAATTCAGGGATATCATGTGAGACAAATAGGATAATAGAGCAGATTTGGTCTCCATAAAGGAGTTTTTCTGCTACTCCAGATTCTCAGATTCCTGTGGCTGGGTGAGGAAATGCTGCAGAATGTTCATAAACAATATGTTTTTCTTGATCAGATTCATCATATTCAAACCTTCACAAACAACTTGGATATCCTGACAATTATTATAGAAAGGATGCCCCTTCCTTCTCTCCAGCCTTTCCTGAAAACGGGAAAAGTGTTTCTCAGATAATGCCACCAACTTCTAATACTGTTTTTTGTGAATTATCTATGCTCCCGTTTTACCCCTTTCCGGGGTCCTGAGTTGCTTTCTCAACTTTGGGGCTGTATACTGGCATGGGGTAGTATGTTTATCAAGTGCTGTCCAAAGCCAAGGAAAAATATTTTGGAGTTCCTCAAATACCTTCCCTTGGCCAGGCCCCAGCCCCTTCTGTAACTTCAGGGTCTGAACCCTTTGCTTAGGCTGTGACTGTGCTTCATCACATTACCCGCTTTATTCCTCCAGCCCAAGCCTGGCTGGGTTCATGTCAGTGACTCAGGAAAGCTGGGTCTTGGAGGAAGGCGTTGGTATAGTCTAAACGCAGGGGACTTCTCACTGCCCCATCCCGCCTTGGTCATTTCCTAATGTATCCCCAGACAAGGATCCCCATCTAAGGCCAGCAAACAGGCTTGGCGTTCCCTTCCCTCAGAGCAGTATTGATGGTTCCCATGCTAATGCAAGCTCCCCTTTGAATCCATTCCTGTTTGTTCTCTAGGACACTTGTAGTTTCCCTCCTGCCCTTCCAAGTGTGGTTCAAGGACAGCCCCTCCGTATTTCTGGGATGCCCATGGCTTTGCTTTGTCTTGGGGAAGGGAATCCTGGAGATGGACTACCTAAAGAAGTTATAACAAATAGGGAGTTCGTGTTCCCCTCTCCATTCCTTAGGAGCTGCTGCAGAGGCTCACAATGACCTTCTCCCCACAGGCTCACGGTGCAGGGTGAACCTGGCCACAGCTTACCTCTGGAACAGCCACAGTGTCTGCCCTTAGACAAGAACCCTGAAATCAGACCCGTTTTTGCGGCCTCCCCCTTTCCTCTCTGTTACAGTGCCCTTTCCAGTCCTTAAGAGAAGTAAAAGCCGCACCGTCAGGAGGTGGACCCCCGAATGTGAGTGGCACGGTTCCCTGTGAACCCATCCTCACCATGTTTGCCACATCTGGGACAGTGGCAGCGGAGAAGCCTTACGCGTGCAGCGAGTGTGGCAAGAGCTTCTGCTACAGCTCAGTGCTGCTGCGACATGAACGAGCTCACGGCGGTGACGGCCGCTTCCGTTGTCTAGAATGTGGAGAGCACTGTGCACGGGCTGCCGACCTCCGAGCGCACAGGCGCACCCATGCTGGCCAGACCCTGTACATCTGCAGTGAGTGCGGACAAAGCTTTCGCCACAGCGGCCGCCTTGACCTACACTTGGGTGCACACCGGCAGCGATGCCGCACTTGCCCCTGCCGCACATGCGGCCGCCGCTTCCCGCACCTCCCGGCGCTGCTGCTACACCGGCGTCGTCAGCATCTGCCAGAGCGGCCCCGCCGCTGCCCGTTGTGCGCCCGCACCTTCCGACAGAGCGCGCTGCGCTTCCACCAGGCGCGGGCGCACCCCCCGGGGACAACCTCTGACCCTGCCGTCCCACCCCACCGCTGCACGCAGTGCCCGCGAGCCTTCCAGAGCGGTGCCGGACTGCGGAGTCACGCGCGCATCCACGTGCCCCAGAGCCCCGTGCGACCCCGTGCCTCCGACGCCCACCAGTGTGGCGTGTGCGGCAAGTGCTTTGGCAAGAGCTCTACGCTGACGCGACACCTGCAGACGCACTCCGGGGAGAAGCCCTTCAAGTGCCCGGAGTGCGGCAAGGGCTTCCTGGAGAGCGCCACGCTGGTGCGCCACCAGCGCACACACACGGGCGAGAAGCCGTACGCCTGTGGCGACTGCGGGCGCTGCTTCAGCGAGAGTTCCACGCTGCTGCGCCACCGGCGCAGCCATCAGGGCGAGCGGCCACACGCGTGCGCCACTTGTGGCAAGGGTTTCGGGCAGCGCTCCGACCTGGTGGTGCACCAGCGCATCCACACGGGGGAGAAGCCCTTCGCGTGCCCCGAGTGCGACCGCCGCTTCAGCGACCGCTCGGACCTCACCAAGCACCGGCGCACGCACACGGGCGAGAAGCCCTACCGCTGCGAGCTGTGTGGCAAGCGGTTCACGTGCGTGTCCAATCTCAACGTGCATCGGCGCAACCATGCCGGCCACAAGCCACACAAATGCCCCGAGTGCAGCAAGGCCTTCAGCGTCGCTTCCAAGCTTGCACTACACCGCAAGACGCACCTGGGCGAACGGCCAGCGGAGTGCGCAGAGTGCGGCAAGTGCTTCAGCCACAGCCGCTCGCTGTCGCAGCATCAGCGGGCCCACGCGCGCGCCCGCACCGCTGCCGCCGTTGCCATCCAGTCCGCAGTGGGCACTGCCCTCGTCTTCCAGGGGCCGGCTGAACAGGAAAATCCAGGGTTCTTTGTGTCCTAGTTGAGGGAGGCTTGCTGAGGCTTCTCTAAAGGTGGTTGGGAAGCACCTCTATAATACCACGGCGACAGCTGAGGCAACTTGTAGATGGAGATTTGGGAAAAGACGATGTGGCCTCCTGCCTTTCCAGTTTCTGTTGGCAGCCCTTCACTTGGCCTCCTGCCTCCCCTCTACACCTACTCCCTGTCGGCCCGTTTGCCATCCTGTCCTCGTATAACTCGGATTCTCTCCTCAGGTGTAGGTGCAGGGAGTCCAGGAAATGGACTCCCCTGAGTGCAAGAGCCCAGGTGTTGGTGTGTCCCTTTAACGCCACTGTGCTCTCTGGTGTTTCCGATTTTCCTGCCTTTGTTGTGTCTTCTTTTGTCCCATGTCCTTATTCCAGCCCGCATCTTCTTTCCCGATTACTTTTGTTGTCCTGCCTCTTCGGGTAATGGTCACAGATTTGGCTGTAGTCACATTACCAGCCCTGTGGCTTCTTAACTCTTGGTTCCCTGTTACTCTCTGCTTCTGAGAAATGTGGGTATGGAAGTGGGAAAGCTCACTTCCAGGCAGGATGTCTCCATGCTAGGAGCTGCCTGCACCCTGGCAGAGGTGGCCACTCACCTGAAGGTGGGCAGGGCCCTTCGCATGGCCACACGTCCCCCAGGGAGATCAAGGGGCCTCTCAGAACAATGTTCCCCAGCCAGGTAAGGAACATTTTCACTGGGACTCAGGCCAAAACCACATGGGTCCACAAAGGGAGGCACTGCCAAGTGGAACATGAGGTTATTTCCAAATCATGGGAGCCACTAGTAGGGAGAGGGCAGGATGGAAAATCCCCTGGAGCTAGTCAACAACTTTTTGCTTATGGCTAGTGAAATAAAGTTGTTTGTTTGAGTTCTAGATGCCAAGCGCCCCCTTTGTCAAACCTAAGGCTGCTGACCAGAGTTTGGAAGTGATCCATTCAGTTCCAAGGTCTCTTGTACCTTCCCAAGGCAGCTCAGTCATCTTGTGTGGAGGACCACTGATTCCACACTAAAAGGTGAGACTTCAAGGCCTACACATCGGGTTTTCTCTGTTAATGGCAAGTACAAGATGGCTCAGAATCATGTCTTTCTGCTCCAGCCAGTCTGCCAGGAGTGACCCAGCACTCTCCAAATTATCTCTGCCTGCTCTGTTTGTGTGAGGGTGGGTGTCTTACTCCACAGGAAAGGGCTGCAAAGTGTCAAAGTGAGTCTGGAAAGGGTCAGCAGTGAGGGCCTGCACCTAAGCTGCATTCTGGTACATGGTTTCAAAGGGATCCAGGATTTCTGCACCTCAGGTGCCAAAACACTCACTCTGCCCACACATGCCTGCATAAAATACTCTGTTTATTTTGTCCTTTAGGTAGACTAAAGTAGTCCAGCTCCCCTACAGCCCAGTCTTGTCCCCACCCTACACTCTGTCGCCTTAGTTCCTGGGGACCAAGCATCTGGTGTTTCTCAAGCAGACCCTCTCCTCATTGCTCCTTTTCAGTCCCTGGAGTCTGGCTCCCCAAAGCCAAAGCTGGAGAGCTCATTGCTGAGGAAGCAGGATTGGAGCCTGAGGAGATGCAGAGGGCCTGGACCCCTCACTGGATCCCAGAGGCCCAGGGGCAGAGATGCTGGGACAGGGCTCTAGGGAACCACTGGGTGACTCTTGAGGGGCCAGGAGCAGGACTGGGTGACTTTTGCTACGGTGGGCTGCAACACTGTCTGGCTTCTCAAAGCGCTTGCCGCAGAATTCGCAGGGGAAGCGCAAGGCAGCCACCGTCTCTGCATGCTTGCGCTGGTGCCAGTTTAGGGAGGCCTTCTGACGGCAGGTAAACCCACATATCTCACACCTGGAGTTAGGGACAGAGGAGGGAAGGAACAGACCTCAGGCCATCTTGACTTCCCTAGGGGGTTCCTCCTGCTCCCCAATGCCTAGGTGTCCTATATATGCCTAGCTTCCAGACTCCACCTCCTCCCTTCTGGCCCCTGGCCCTCAGACCCCAATCCAGCACTCACTGCAGGGGTTTTTCTCCAGTGTGGATACGTCTGTGGATGACAAGGTTGCTGCTAGTGCGGAAAGACCGGGCGCAGAACTCACAGATGTAGTCCCGGGTGTCTGCAGGCATATGAGGAACACTCCAGCATCTGCCCCCACCCTGTGGCCCCTCCTTGGTCCACCCCACCCACTGTCCCTCACCGGAGTGCACCAGTATCAGAGGTCAGGAGGCTCAGGTTCTAATCAGTTGTTATCTGATCATGGAGCCCATCTGGACCTCCTTTACCTGATGGGTCATGAGGTCCCTTGACCTGATGGGTCAAGTAAGACATGAACCCAGCTAAAAGACCTCATTATTGTCCACCCCACCCCCTGCCCGCCAATCACACTCAAACCAATGAACTCCCAATGGAGATGCACCACCCCACCTCAGCCTCTAGGCTGGTTCTTTCTCAAAGGAGACCCATGCAATGGAGAGCTGGGTCCTTATGTATGAACTGAAGGCCCTGGGTGGCAGCCAAGCAGAAGCTGGGAGTCCACAATGGGAATTAGGATTGAAGCTCAAAGCCCAAGGACAGACTCTGGCACCTGGAATCATTTACCACCTATTCAGGCTTGCATATCCCACCTGTCCCAGACCCTATCAGTGCCCTGTGGAACTACCTGTCTGCAGGCAGCCAGTCCCCTCTCCTCTTTTTTCCCTGAAACTGCACTCCCTGCTTGTTCCAATAGCACCTGCCTGTTGCCCATGGTCACAGTGTTGCCAGCAGCTCTCACAGGCTGCGGTGGCTTCTCTAACCCACCAAACCTCAGGGTCTACAGTAGAAAAGGCACCTCTGCTTTTCATGGTGCCCTTTAGACCACCTCTAACATCACCACCTCTCTGAAGACCCCACCATCAGACCCACATACACCTGCAGCCTCTTCCTTTGGCCCCATCACTCCCCATCCACGTAACTCTAGGTTCAGCCCCTCTACTCCCGTCAGCCACTACTCCTGCTGTCAGTCAGCACTCCAGCCCTCTGTTCCCTGACCTCACTGACCTCATCGCCCACCCTCCTTAGTCACCAGTCTCAGGTCACACCCGTGCACTGCACCACTTCAGAAATTGCTATTTCTTCTAAGATACAGTGGGTTGGGGGGAGAAAAAAAGAAATTGTGATTTCAAACATCCTGGTTCCTGCCAGGGCCTCCTACCTTGTCCTCTTGCTATGATAATCCCATGACTCCAGGCCAGTCCACTGGCCCCACCATCTTCCCTCTGAGCCCTTCCCCACTCACCTGCATTTCCACAGCCATCTTTGTTGCCTTCTTTCATTCACACTACCAATCTTCCTGTCCCTCTCTCCGTCCACTGTACTTGCTTGGTTAAAGCCCAACTCAGGATAAACACAACTTTTGGTCTGCTCCAGGCCTGCACGTGTGTACTGTAGGGGGCACAGTCTGCCTCTTGGCCACTCTCTTCATCTAGTCACAAATCTTAAGGCCCCCTTCTTACCCTACTGCGTCTGCATTTCCCTCATCAGTTCACTTTTCCAACTTTCTAGAAGTACAGAAGACATTTCACACCAATTCCTCTCTCCACCAGCCTCCAACACCCCCAGCCTACCAGCCTTATTCAGCGGGGCTCATTTCTAAAGTCGCCAAGAAACTAGAACACCCACATCTTCTGCCCACTAAATCCACTATTCAACTTGCATCTGTGCCTATATAAACAACTACTCAAACTGTTCCCCCCGGCAGCCCTCCACTGTGCCCCTCAAGACTGACCCCTTCTCACTTGAGGTCCCCCACTTCACTCCAGCATCAGCAGCAAGCCTTTCTCTATGGAATCATTCCCATCTCTGTGCCCTGAGCCCACAGCCTTCCAGCTAAGGCTCCATTTCTCTGCCCGTCCTCACAGCAAAACACAGAGCTGTCCATACTTGCTGTCTCCACTCTGCCTTGAACGCACATCTGGTCACCTGTTCTCAGATCACATTTGGCCTGTCGCACTGGCAATCATCCCCCCTTCCTCCCTGAAGCATTTTCTATACTCAGCTCTTCAGATACCACTCTCTCCATCTTCCTCACTACTCACCTGGCCTGTCCTCTGATGGCTGGAGTGCCATGACACTCACTTCCTCTATCTAGGGACACTCTGGCGTCATGGCTTTCAATACCACCCATATGCTCATGACCCATACATTTATATTTATATTTTTGTCAGACATCTCCCCTGATCTCCACATTCACATCTCCTGGATGTTTAATTAGCACGTTTCAAATCAAATTTCCCTTCCCAAGACCATTTCTCCCTTGTTTTCAGAAAAATCACATCACCTTCTGCACGGTTGCTGAGGCTGGAATCCTCCAAGTTACCCAACTCCTCCCTGCCCACTCAGCTGTAGCCAACCCATCCTTCCCACAGCAGCCCATTTGGCTCCATCTGCACACACACTGGCCTCCAGCCACTCCTCACTGACTCAGCTGCTGCCAGCAAATCCAGGCACCACCTTGCCCTCTTGCGCATCTCTGCAGTCATCTCACAGTTGAGTGCCTGGTTCTGCTCATCTGAGGTCCCCCTATTCACACAGCAGCCACAGTGATTTTTTAAAAAGTCAGCCACGTCCCTCTGCCATTCAAGACTGCGATGGCACCCATCTCACTTAAAGCAGACGTCACAATGTCCTGTGGAAGGTCTCAGAGGCCTCCGCCAACTACGTGACTTCTCCTCCTTTCTCAGCTCCTGGCCTTCCTATTCCTGGAACATGTCACCCAGATACCACCTAAGGGCCTTCCCACAGGCGCTGTCCATAGTCTATAAGGTGCAGGTCTCCATTCCTCATTTCACTTAAGTCTTTGCTCAAAGCATCTTCTCTTTCTACAATAGCAACTCCTCCTTATGCTCTCCTCCTTTCCCTAGCTTCCACTTTTCTTCATAGCCCTGTATCACTAAAGTGGATGTCTCAAGAGGGTTAGCGCTGCCTACTCTGTTCATTGCTGTACCCAGTACCCAGAACAGTTTAAAACAAGCAGGTGTTCAACATACAGGGCATGCAGGATGAGTGAGAGTCATCCCTCGGAGGGAGGTGAAGAAACCCACAGAGTGGGAGCTGCCAGGACCCCGTAGAGGGGGAGGTGAAGAAACCCACAAAGGAAGGTGGAGCTCCACCACTCACCACTGTGCAGCTTCATGTGCTCCTTCAGGTGTTTCTTAAAGTTGAAGGACTTCCCACAGGCTGGCTCTGGGCAGGAGAAAGACTTCTGGTGGATGTGCTGGTACTTTTTGTGGTGCTAGAGAAGGAAGTGGGTGGTAGGGAGAGAAGAGGCAAAAGGATAGCCGCCTTCCACAGGGAGATCAATTGAGCTCACCCAGCAGGCATGCTCCTCTGTCCCCTTCCTGGCCTGTGCCCCAGCAGTTCTCCCTGTCATGGCTCATTTCCTTGAGGCTCAGTCCTCACCTACACCATGAGCCCCACGCCCATCCCATCCTGACCACTCAACTCTCCTGTCACCCTGTTCTGTGCTTGACTTCCATGATCTCAGCTCCTTGTCACACTCTCACCCTGCAATGTTCCCTGTACAAAGTATCACTCTGGGTGACACCCCTGGTTCACCTAATCATGAATGCACTATCTGCTGCGGAGGGGAAAGCAGTTTGGGTAAGTATGATTATCCTATTTAATGTCAATATTCACGTGCAACAGTATCACCCCAACTGCCTGCTTTTTAATACCTCGCCACGGATATTTATATAATATGATTTTCTTCTAAATCTGCTTTGGAAACACACACACACACACACACACTCAACCTAGAACACTATTAAGGGTAATAGGCTCTGCAACCTTAACTCCTAAATATCGAAATTATTTCTCTTTTCACTGGCCTAAGTTAGCATCCTCGCTCACTAAATTGCATGGGCTGTTCCCTTCTTTAGAATCCCGTTTTTCCACAGTTAAACTTCCAGGGGCTGCTTTGGTCTCCTCCATAACAGACTCCAGAAGGTCTGACACGCCCTGCTGAATGCTCTTCTCAGCCTAGAGCTTCCCTGTCATCCCGGTCATTCTCGCTTTTCACTTGATTCCTCTGTCATCTTCTGTGGGCAGCACTCTCCCCATCTTCTACCCTCACCTCATCATCCCAGTGTCTGTGGCCCTCCCCAGACTTGGCACCTGCTGTTCCAAGTGCTCTGGCTGACTGTAGGGATTGGACCCTTCCCCCTCTGTGCCTCAAATTTCTCAGCCAGTGAGTGAGATTGGGGACAGGACCATCTCCTAGCCCACTTCACTCTAGGAATATCCTCTCAAGCCAGGATATGAGGCAACCCAGGCATGGACTCCGAAGCCAGGCCACCAGGCTCAGAACCCTAGCACTAAGACACACTAGCTGAAGAGCCTTGAGCAACGCCTAACCTTTCTGTCTGCAAAGTGGCAATAATATCAGCACCTAATCCATGGGGATATTGTGAGAACCAGAAGACTTCACACACGTCAAGTGCCCAGGACTGTCATTAGCACCTCCAGGGGAGCCTGATGCATGCCACTGTCATCTCTGTGTGGCCTCCATGGAAGAAGCAGTAGAAGGCCGTGGCTCTGTGCGCCTGAGGCATGGTTTCATCTACCATTTGTCTGATTCAATGATTACTAATTATAGGAAAGCTCTGCATGTCCATCCTAACCCTCTGCTTCACAGTTCTGAATCCTCCCATGCCTTAAGATCCTTTTCCTCAGTTTCTCTTTTAGCCCTTTTCCCCCACCCCAGCAGCCACACAGGCCCCAACCTGTGCCCCTCACATTCAAATACTGCCGGTTGGAGAAGATCCTTCCACAGCCAGGGAAGTCACAAGGCATCAGCTCTCTTTTGGCAGCTTTCCTGGGGAGAATGGAGAGGAGCAGGATGACTCCTGCCTGCCCTTCTCTGCCTCCCTCCTGTCGGCCCTCCCCAGAACCCCATCTCCCCAAGTCCTACCTAATTCTCTTGGGGCCAATCTGTGCAGTGTCCTCATCCCAGGCCGGGGTTGGAGCAGACTGGGCCTGACTCCCAGTGCTATGGGCAGCAAAGAGGGAGCAGAGGGCCTCGAGGGAGGGCCACATCCCAGAACGCCCCTGCCCTTTCTGTCTCAGCCATCAGGTTACCTGGCCAGGGCCTCAGTCTGCTGGGCTGCTTGAGGTGTCCTGCTGAGCTCTGGCTGCACCCCGATTTCTGCAAGTGGAGGAGCTCTGGAACCCAGTGAGGATGCTGACAAGGATGGCACAGCAAAAGGAGTGGAGAGTGCTGCAGGGGCTGGTGGTGTCTCCCCCTCTTTAGGCGTGCAGGTGACAGGGGAAGGGAGTAGTCTGGGGGCATCAGGCTCACTACTGAAAGGAGAACAAAGAGGAAGATGGCATTAACTCTCTGGGCAGTCAGCTAGCCCCAGCCTGACCCTAGCCCCTAAACTGAAAAGACCTCAAACCTGAAACAACCCTACCCCCACCCTAGGCTCCCCATTCATATCTGCTTTCAGCCCTCAATCTCCCTGCGCCTGACTTCACCCCTTTTCACCCACGCACTTCAAAGACTCTAGTTCTTTTTGCCTTCCCCAAAACCCACCCTTCCCTCCACACCAACAAGCCCTTCCCTCTAGTCTGCAAAGCTATGAACTGCCAGGCCAGCTGCCTCCCTCTCCTGCTCTGCTCAGCATTCTCCTTCAACCCCAACTTGCTCATCTGGGGAGGAGCTGTAGGTCCATAAGCTGGCATCACTGAGCATCTCCTCTTCATCCTCATCATCGTCCTCTTCTTCCTCACCCTCTTCCTCTCCTGGAGGTGGGAAGGTCTCTGGTGGGGGTCCCACCCTCCTGCAGGCCCAAAGAAGGCAAGTCTGAGGTCCTGCTCCCTCATCCTACCATCTATGCAATTCCACCCTTTCCCTCCTACCCACATCCTCACCTGGGCAACCTGGCCTCTTGAGTCCTCTCATCATGCTCAGATTCCAAATCTGTGGGACAGGCAAAGTCAAAAGGGAAGGAACTCTGGACTCAAGGGATGAGGACATGTAAAGTTCTAAGGTCTGAAGTGATGTGACTCCTTTTTTTTTTTTTTTTTTTTAAATAGAGATGGGGTCTCACTGTGTTGCCCAGGCTGGTCTCAAACTCCTGGGCTCGAGCAATCCTCTTGCCTCAGCCTCCCAGAGTGCTAGGACTATAGGTGTGAACCACTGCACCCAGGCAGAGACTCTTGAGGAGGAGGGAGCAGAGGCTATTGGAGTAGGAGGCGTTGTTCTATTTCAGAGATGATATTCACACAGTTCACAAAACTATACAGTCAAAAATCTTTCCAATACTGTCCCCCCATCGCCTACTTCTTCCCACAGGCAACCTGGTTTCCTATGTGCCTTCCAGAGATATGTTATACATTCACAAGTACTTACACACACACACACACACACACACTCATTTTCCCCTTATTTGTATTTTTCACCAATGATAGCATACCATACACTGTATTTTGTTCTGCTTTTCGTGCCCAACAATGTATTTGATGATATATTTCTTTGTCAACATAGAGTTTTTCCATTGAAAAAGGATGATTTTTAGAGAACAGGGTTCTGAGCTACAGAAAATGGGAAACCTCTTTCCTCCCTTTTCTCCACAACTCTGCTTTTTCCCAGCCTACCTGCAAGCTCCTGCCCACTCGTGGCCTCAGAACACCAACTTCTCCGGGTAGTATGTGGAAGGGAGGCTGACTTGGGTGCCTCTGAAGGTGTGGGGCTCAAAGAGGGTCCCCAGGAGAAGGTATGGCCTGCTGAGCACTCCCACACAAGCCCCCCATCTTGGCCGCCAGGCCCCCGAAGGCCGGGCACCAGGCTGCACTCTCGGCTGTGGGCATGAGACAAGAGCACCAGATACTGCAGACGTTTTGGAGGCAAAGGCTCAGGACCTGGAGGGGTGGGGGAAGCAGTCAGGCTGAACTGGGAAGTCTCCTCCTCTCACCCTGGAGAGCCATACCCAGGGAGCCCTGTTCCCTCAAACCCCAGGGCAACCTCAGCCACAGTCCAATTTCTCATTCTTCAGAACCAAGACACACTAGATCCTGAGACATTGCTCCCTTCCCCACCCAGAGGTTGCTCCCATCAAACTACCCCGTGCTCCCCAACTCACCCCATCCTTCCCAAACTCACTCAGGGCTCCCTTTGAAAGGAGGGTGTTTCTGGGTCACCCTGTGGCCCCTCTTCCCTCTGGCTCTCACCCCCTGCCATCCCATACCTACCTGCACAGAGGACACAGCCTGAGGAAGTGTACCTGCCAGCAGGAGAAGAGGCAGGTCAGGACTCAGGTGGCCAGCCACCCTCGGCCCTGGGCACTCACACATGTAAGGGGCCAGCCCTAAGGGCTGCTATTCGCTGAGACCATGAGGAGGGGAGCAGGACCCTGGGAGGCCACAAGTCACACAGGCCGTCCTGGTAAAGTGAGAAACCTGAGGGTGGAAAAGAGCAGCGGGACAGGCCCTGGAGAGGAGGCTAGGGGCTGCTGCCTGGGTACCCTCCCCCAAGCCCCTCTCCCGGCCCCTAACCGGTCCAACAGGAACTTGGCGAGCTGCGAGTGCAGGGAGAAGCCCAGCCGCTCCTTGAGGAGGCACCACTGCTCCATGTGGCCGCCCAGGCGGATGCGGCACTTGCTGCGGCGCGCGTCCAGCTGCCGCCGCTTCTCCCGCCGCCTGCAGGACACGTCCACCGCCGGGGAGGAAGCCATGTGCACCAGAGGCTGGAGGGTGGAAGATGTCTTCAGCGCCCAGCCGATCCTGGGGATCGAGGACCCGGCTCCACCTGTCGTTGGGGCCTCAGTTCCCTCATCAGTGAGGAAGACTCACTGATCTATGCAATTCCGGGGCAAGACTAAACTATTTCAACAGCAGTGGCAGGTGTGGAGCAAACCCTGTCCTTCTGTGATACAGGGTGTGGAAGCTCAGCGCTACCATGTGGGTGTCGTCGGGGGGAGGCCGGCAGACACACGCAGTCAGAACAAAGGCCTGCGCCCTCCAGTCCACTGAAGTGGAGCCGTGGGGAAGGGGCGAGAGACTTTCACGGGAAATTTCAACTGGGCTGGGGGGAGGTCCACACATTTCATCTTGAAGAGGGCAGCGGCCTTTACTGCTTTGTAGGGGAAGGAAAGGTCGTGTCCTGGCGTGCAGCTGGGGGCGCTCTTCACAGTTGGGTCGAGTGACGGTGGGGCCGGGTTCAGAGGTCTGGAGGGCGCCCCCCACCCCGTCTTGGGCACCCCCACTTAATGCTGGCAGTGCGTGGAGCGGACCAATCCCAATGGCAGCTCCCAGGTTGCCCAGAACCCCGTCGCGACCCACCCCCACCCCGACATTACCTGTGCGCCCCCACGCGCCCTCACCCCGACTGCGCCTGCGCCTCCCGGGCCAGGCGAGCAGGCCCGGAGCTGCTGGAGACAGGGGCCCACCTCGCGCGCGCAGCGTTTCTCTTTTAAGAAGAAACGGTGCTTCTCGGCGTCGGCTGCGGTATCCCGGAACTGAGGCCCGCGCCCCAGAGGGCGGGGCGAGTCGGAGGCCGACGGCGTGCGCCTGCGCACTGGGTGCCCCTCGCAACGCCGGCCGGAAACCGTGGTTCCCCGACTCGAGTCGCCCGCGCGTGTCACGGAGCCCCGCGGCAGTTGTGGTTGCGTCGCTTCTGTGGTGAGCGTCTGCGCTTGGTGACCAACGGTTTGAGGGAAAGTGGAAGAGACAAGGTCAGGCCTCCTGTGCTCCAGCCCCAGCCCATCGGCCTGTCTGGGGACGTTGCCTCTTCGCTTGTTCCGGTTTTGTATTCACCTTCCATTTCCCCCTCACAGTTGCCGCCCGCAAACGTGATGCAGAACTGGTCACTTTGAAAGCCAGCTAGAGCCCTCTGGACCGCAGAGTCCCACAGTCACAGCCCACTTCTGTTAGCATCAGAGTTCCTCCTAAAAGTCGCCTGCATTCTCTGTGGACTCTCACTTCCCATCCTCTTCTCTTCAAACGGCTCTGATGGAGCTTTCCTCCCCGCCCAGCCACTGCAGTGGCGCTTCACAGGGTCACTTGCGACGGTCATCTTGCTACATAGCAGCTGTCAGTTCTGTCCGCCTCCCTGCCCTAGAAAGAGCGCGACTGTGTAGCTCGCGTCTTCCTCATCCTTATGGCTCCCTACATTTTTTGGCCCCAGTTTTACTTCTGTGACTTCCTATGCTCCTGGTTTTCCACCCTCCTCACTGGCTCCCTCTTTCCTTTTTTTGGATCCATTCCCTCTGTTCTGCCAAAAGATGAAGTGTGCCCTGGCTCAGGCCTTGAACCAGATCTTGTCTCGTCTGCAGATGTTCTCTTGGGTGATCTAATTAGTTCCGTGGATTTAAATACACGATGGCTCCTAGCCTAGCCTTTTTTCAACTCCAGTCATATATCTTACTGCCCACTTGACTTACCTGTGTTAACTGAGCTAACACGTAACGAATTTAGGACAGTGCCTGGCATGTAGAGAGCACTGACACATGATAGCTGATATTTTCTCCAACATAAATATGGCAAACATGTAACAATAACGCCTGTACCCTCCACCATGTCAGTACCCACCCCCTTGCTCAGAAAAAAAGGGAATCAGTCTTGATTATTTGCCTTTTATGACACCTAAACTATATACATCAGCAAATCTTGTTGGTCCTGTCTCCAAAAATTTATCTTAAATCCAATCACTTCCGACCCTCTCAATTGCTAAAACCCTACTCCAAGCCACTGGTATTAATTTTCTGTAACTGTTGTAATAAATTGTGTTGTTTTCAGCCACAAACTTGCTCCCTTTAGGCAGATTTATTTTCTCATGGTTCTGGAAGCCAAAAATCCAGATCAAGGCATCAGCAGGGCCACGGGCCATATAAGGGCTCTAGAGGAGAACCCTTTCCTTGCTGCTTCTGGCTTCTAATGGTGGCCAGCATTCTCTGACTTGTGGCCACATCACTCCAATCTCTGTCTCTGAGGTCACATTGCCTCCTCCTGTGCCACATCTCCCTCTGCTTCTCTCTTACAAGGATGCTTGTGAATGCATTTAGAGTCCATCCTTATAATCCAAATAATCACTTCATCTCAGTATCCTAAAGCAATTACTTCTGTATTTGCCATATAAAGTAATTGGCTGAACATGGTGGCTCACGCCTGTAATCCCAGCACTTAGGGAGGCCGAGGCGGGTGGATCACTTGAGATCAGGAGTTCGAGATGGGCCTGGCCAACATGGTAAAACCCTGTCTCTACTAAAAATACAAAAAAAAAAAAAAAAAATTAGCTGGGCATAGTGGCATGGACCTGTAATCCCAGCTACTCGGGAGGCTGAGGCAGGAGAATTGCTTGAACCTGGGAGGAGGAGGTGGCAGTGAACTAAAATCGTGCTACTGCACACCAGCATGAGTGACAGAGCAAGACTCCATCTAAAAATAAAATAAAAGTAATCTCCACATGTTCTGGGGATTAGGACACAGATATCTTTTCCAGGACTATTTTTAAGCCTATGATACCACTATCATCTCACCTGGTCTATGGCTACATCTTCCTAATGGATCTGCCTCCTACTTTAAGTTGTACCCTCACAAAGCAGGGATGATTTCCTCAAAGATCCAATCTTTTGCTTAAAATCTGTAAGTGGTCTCCAGTGCAATCCAAAATCCTTATCGTGGCCTCAAGGCCCAACTTAATCTGGCCCTTGGCTTCTTCTCTGGCATCATCCCCCAACTTTTCCCACTTTGTCCTCCCACCTTTTTGCTATTTCTCAAGTGTGCCATGTATGCTGGAGGGAGTTCTTTTGTCTCTGCAGCACTCATTTCTCCCCACAGCCCCCGCCCCGTCCCCCAGCCCACCACCCAACTCTTCATCTGTTTGCTCCCTTATTGTCATGTGAATCTCTATATAAGATCACCCACTCAGCTATGAAATCCCTCATTCAGAAAGCTCCCTTTCCTCAGTCATGCTCTACTTCACTGTGCCCTATTGTATCTTCTTTGTGGCACTTACTTTCTGAAATCGTCTCAGGGACTTGTCTGTGTGTTTGTTATTGGTATATGATGATTGTTGACTAGCCCAGCCTTCTCTGCAGCCTAAATATCTCAAATGACATGGTGTCCAAACATGAACACCCTTAGGATGAGCCCAGTGTGTCCTGTGCATATTCCTTTTGATTTGTGGTATCAGTGCCTCAGCCTACTTGTCCGACTAGCGTAAGGTAGGAAAGAAGATGTCCCATCTACTTTACTCATTAATGAAAGTGTAACTTTTACATCAAAAGAGCAGGACTCCATCGAGAACAAACTTTATCCTTTCCTCAAGGTCCCTAAAAGATATCTGCAAAATCCTTGTGATTTCATCAAAGGGAATGAAAGATCTTATAACTCTTGGTTACTCTTAGAATGTTGGGTCTCACTTTGAGGTCCAAAAACATTCTTGGTTCTCTTGGTTTGATCTTGTTTAAAATAATAAAATGAAGCTACTGCCAATGCCCAGCTCTTCAATAACCCTCTCCAAATAAATCTCTCAGCCTCTCTTTAATTTCTTATATCATCTAGGTACGGAATGAGCCAACTCTCTCAAAAACAGTCATCAGCCCCTTCCTTTGTAAGTGCTGCAAAGGAGTGCTAACATTCTAAGGAGGGGTTATCTGTAAACATTGGTTCTCTGCCTTTAGTGACCTCATTGCAGTCTGAGACCTTGAATTCCATCTTAGCATCCCATTACAAAAGCTAAGATTAAATGCAAGCTATTGGTAATGTTGTCACCGTTGAGCTATACAGTTTGCAGACTGCTGAAACTGCCAATTCTTTTATACACATCAAAGGCTCCATGTGGAGGACACATTTATCTTCATAACATTTATTTTTCCCGGACTACGCATGGCACCATAGCGCTCTTTTTATCTCCTTTCTTGGCATAGCCAAATCTAATATTTCTGTACCCTCTGAACTTTTAGTATCTTCTCTCCAAAGAGAAAAACTACTTTCCATTCCCCGGGTCCAAGGAAGAATGAGCCAAATTGCTACAGAAGTTGAGTCAACCCACTGCCCTCAAATCCTGAGACGTATTCCCAGTGGGAAGAGGAACACTCCTTCAGGACTTTGTGCCCCAAATTCCACGAGACCCACAGACACCCTCCGCCCAGCCCAGGCTCCAAGTATTTGCATGAATTCTCTCTCTTTCTCAGCTCTCATCCTCTCAGTGACTGGTGTCTTCATCCTCCAACCAGTCGTCATTGCTGGGAGTGCAATTCGGTTTCTCCTGAGCCCCTGACAACTGAAGGGTGATGCCTCTACCCTGAGTCTGATCACGCCCTAGTGCGGGGGACCTGGGCCCTCTGTGATGCCGTGTGGCCCAGGTAGGGCGGGGTGGTACATAAGAGATGCCCTTGCCCTTGCTCCTGGCTGGCCCAGCTGCCTGGGTTGGTGCTGTTAGCTTTGGCTCCGGGGCCGGAGGGCAGACGACATGGAGGAGGAAGCCAGCCGCCAAGAGCCTGGCCCTGGGAAATTCAGCGGCTACAGGGGTGCTTGCCGCTGCGGAGCTCGCGACGTCGGCCGCGGAGCAACGCGTTGCTCCTGGTGCTGAAGCAGTGCCTGCGCCCCTCGCTGTGGTTGTGCTGATGGCAGCAGCAGCCCGTCTAGCGTGGCCACTGCCGTGATGCTGGCTGCGGTGGGGGAGGCGGCCCGCTCCAGGAAGCAAGTGGGAGCCAGGAACAGGCAGAAGCCCCGCCCGCTCCTGAGTTGACTGGGTGGGAGCTTGGCGCTCCTGGGTGCAGCTGCTGCCGCCCTGCTGTGGCTGCGGACCCAGAACTCCCTGTGCTCTTGGGGGCCAGAAGCAGCCAGGAGCCCCGCCCTCCCAGGCAGAGCTACTGCGGCTCAAGCTGTGGCTGCAGACCCAGGCATCTCTTCCCTCTCCAGGGGCGGCCCCTCTGCCCGCGCAGGCTCAGAAATGCCCGGCTGTGCTGCCTGGTCTCTCCCCGCTCCTGGTGCCTGCTCCACGGGCTCTGAAATGCTTGCTCCCACTGCCTGGCTGCTCCCCGCTCCCAGTGCCCAGTCTGATCTCAGAGCAAAGTTGAGGCCAAGGCCGGCGCTACCGCAACCCGGCCAGGTGTGCGCACACTCGGGCAGCGCTGACGTGCCAGCCGCCTGCTGCCTCGGCCCCCTCTGGACTTCCGGGCGCCAATGAGCACAGGAGGGAGGCCGAGATGAGGGCTGAGGGCAAACCAGCATTGACCTGCAGGTGCCCCTCAGCACGAACAGCCTGGGTGCTCTAATGTTGTTCCTTCTGTTTTACTTCTAACTGCCCTTCCTCCTCCTCCCCTCTGACTCTCTCATTGCATAATTTTGCCCCCTCTTTCTCTCCTTCATCTTCTCCCCTTTTTCTTGCCTCATCTCATTTCCTCCCTCTGTACCTAAAAAGTTTCGCATTTGGGCTAAAAAATGAACCCAACCATTTCTCTTCAGCCATCTTCTAGCATTAAGCTTCTAATACAGAAGAGTTTGTGAGCTACCAACAATTTGAAGA